CTACTTGGAAGGCTGAGGCAGAAGGATCGCCGGAGCCCAGCAGGTCGAGGCTGCGGTGGCCGGGAGCAGCCACTGCACTCCAGTCTGGGTGACAGAGTGAGACTCCAACTCAAAAAAAAAAAAAAGAAAATCAATGTAATTCATCACATGAGCAGAATAAAGGGGAAAATCATATAGTCATCTCAATAGATGCAGAGAAAGCACTTAAAATATATCATAAGCCTTTCAGCAAACTAGCAAAATAAGGGACTTTCTTAATCTGATAAAGAGTATCTACCAAAAAATCTATAGCCAACATATTAATGGTGAAATACTGAACACTCCCCTCTGAGATTAGAAACAAGACTGGAATGCTCATTATTACCACTTCCAGTTAACATTATACTGGAGGGCTCAGCCACTGTAGTAAGACAAGAAAAAGAAATTAAAGGTCTAGGGATTGAGAAGGAAAAAGTAAAAAACGTCTTTTATTCGCTGATGATGTGATTCTGCACATAGAAATCAAAAGAATAATCAGTTTAGCAGGGCCCCCAGATGTTGGGACAGTCTGCCAGGGATCTTAAGCATCCCTGCAAGTTTGTACTGACTGTGCCAAATGAAAGACCTGACCATCCTCTGACACCAAGCATACAGGCAATTAAGTAGACCGAGGCAACAATATGTGACTACAGTGTAATTTCTCCCTCTCAAGTAGAAGGCACCTGGCTTCCTTTGGTGCTTGCTAAAAGAGGTGCTGAGCCCTTGGCCCTGGGCTCCTTAACCGTTGCATGTGCTGTGTGCAACCACCTGGGCTCACTGTGACACCCCCCCAGGTCTTGGGAGCAGGGGAACCAGGTTGCCATACTGACATGCTATTTGCTGTGCCATGAGTAATTCAGTCTGCTTTCGGCGTCTATGGAGTTATGACAGGCCGACATGGGTCAACAAAGTTTTTCTTCAAGGGCCAGGAGAAGCCTGTGGGCCATGTGGTCTCTCCCCCAGCTACTCAACTTTGCCATTATCGCAGGAGAGCAGCAATATGTGATATGCAAAGGAGTGGGAGTGCCGTTGTGCCCCAAGAAAACTTTATTTTCAAAAATACGCAGTGGCCCACGTTCCTGCCATCTGAGGCTTGGGGCAGAAACGTGTGAACCCCTGTCTGGCTGGCAGCGGGGATGGGGGTGTGGGATCTGGATCCCCTTCCGCCTTCCCCTCCTTGCTCTGTGCTTTGCTAGACTGACCCTACAGAAACGCATGGAAGGGCTTCCTTGCCCTTCAGCTTGCAGTGAAGATCTGCCCCTGGGGGGCACAAGCAGAGACCAGAAATCAGGGAAAGAAGGGAGGAGGTCGGCCGGGCATTTATCCACCGCCTTCCTGGACGATGGGGGGACCACTGCATACAGAGTCCGCTCTCCAGATTCAGGGAACCGTTTCTGCCCCGTCCCTTTTGAGAACTGACAAGTGCTTAGCCTGGCGTGCTGGCAGGCACGAGTGGTGCCAGCGACTCGCGAGGCTGAGGCTGGAGGACCGCCAGGGCCCAGGAGGTTGAGGCCGGGGTGAGCTCTGACCGTGGGGTGAGCCGTGATCGTGCCGCTGCACTCCAGCCTGGGCGACAGCCTGAGATGCCGATTCCAAAAAAAGAAAGTACCCACTACGGCCCCACCCCTCCCAACGAACCAGGGGTCCAGCACCTTCCTTAAACGTGCGTCACTCCTCCCAAGTGACCTGGCTCGGGCGAGCCGAGCTTCCTGCTCTGCCCCGGCCGGCGCGCCGAGTGCGCCCGAGGCTCCTCAGAGCCCCTTCCCTCTCGGTTCACGCCCCGGCCCGCAGCGACCGCCTCCCCGGCTCCCGGTCGCCATCGGGCGTCGCCGCCGGCGCCCAGGCCCTCGTTGGGAAGCCGACCGCACGGCC